CTGATGGTGGAACATCTTTCTACACCTGATTTGCAAAGTACAGGGAAAGACTGAAGGTTTCAGGAAATTGTAAAAATCTAAGTAGCTGAATATCTTTCGTCGGTAGAACCTCAACCTTTTCCAGTGAATTCAACTTTTGTTGTCCTTATACTGCACAGATGACAGTTTTCTCTCCTCCTTCCTGGTTTTTCTGTTTCCATAGAGGTGCAGGACTTTATATTGCAGCGAACAATGAGCCAACAGTTAATAAAAATGAAACTGCTGAAGGCCAACAACGAGCAATCTAGTCTCTGCATGTTAGAACTTGCAGATTGACATCGTAGCTACGACTGACACCTTGTTGTTGTTGTTTGTTTACCTCGGAGTTTATGACGGACACTTTCCTCGGGTATTGCAGCAAAAACCTTAGCTGCAGAAAAGAGACGAACCGAAAGACATTCAGCACCACAGCGTCTCGAATGAAGAACTCGTCGACGCTTCTGTGATCGGTCCAGTTGGCTTTCTCCCACCTACCACCAACCAAAAAAAGGAAAAACAATTAAAACAGCTTCTGTTGCAGTGCAGTGCTATATTAAAGCCCACGAGGTGGACGTCAGCATTCGTTTTTTATTAGTTTATTAGCTTTAATCAGTACTCGACAACCAAAACTTCAACAATGCGCCAGTGTGTGTGTTCTCGAGTTGGAGATTTTTATCTGAAATTTCTGTTCTTGTGATCTGTTGATGAATTTACAGCAGCTCAAACATTAAACTCTGTCAACTTGTAGACGTTGACAGAGACGTCATTTGTTTGTCTTTCGACCTTGAGTTCCTCCCGACATCCAAATCAGACCAGGGCTAAATCAGCACCCGTGTTCATAATGGCACCTTGTTTTTTTAGAGGACTTTCTGCTGCTGCCGTCTATATTTTGTTCATTTATTAAATGCTCAGAGAGATCGTGATCTCAGGGACTTGCTCAGATAGTTCCAGAGCGTCACCACTAAACACATACTTATGGAATAGAAGGTTAAACCAGATCAATGTGTCCTGCCTTTAATGCAAACATGTCTGGTTTGGGTGGGAACTTGCTTTGATGTCAGCCTGCTTGCCAACCCCTGGAGGTTCTGGTTTGTCCCCTGAAAACAGCCCTCAGAGGGGTTCTACTAGGGCGGCTCTTGCAGTCAGAACATGCTCAAAGGTTTGGGTCACCTTTAGTTTTGCCTTTTTGGGTGATGCATTTGTGAATTTCTTTTCTGCAGTCTTTTGGTTGTGTCCTTGTTTTTGTGTGTGTGTTTGTGGTTTTTTTTTTGGTGCTACATTCATATAAATAAACACAGGAAAGCGTGTCGTTGCCCACCTGCCCTCGCCCGTCAGTGTAACACCATCCATGGAGAGGGAGGTGAGTGGAACCCCATTCAACACCACCAGGAGGTTGACAGTGGCCTCATCGGACACAGACAAGTTACGGAAAGACAGATACCTGTGTAGGGACACCACAGGACGGTGACTGGTTGGTTTTTCTGCATTATAGCTAAAACTGAAATTAAAATTTAAAAAAAAAAAAAAAAAAAAAGAGCTGGCTGTTGGACCTGATCCTCCTCCTGGCCGAGTCTCTGAAGGGCTGAACAGACCAATTCCCAATCAGGTGCAGGTCCTCCAGAGTGATGGGCGTCTCGGGGTACGTAACGTCGGCGAGCACAGCCGAGGCCAGCGCCAAGTTGGTCAAAAACGGAGCGTGGAGGCTCAGGGTGACGTGACCCAGCGGCCAAATGTCGGCTAAAGCACCGGACTCGTACCTGCGGGGACAGGAGGGAGTCGAAGAACACGAAAGATGGGAACAGCAAGAGCATTCAAAGGCATTCAGCTTCAGCACCTCAGCCAGAAACTACATCAATACCACATTTAAACGCCTCCCTGCTGCATCTGTGGAATCAGCAGCTCCGGGTCAAGGCTTCCTCCTCTTTGCTCAGTAGATTCATCACGTTGAGCTGGTAGTAATGAAAAAGTCCCATCTTTGAGCACCCAAAAAATATATATCGCAGAAGTCAACTCGTGGTATTTTTTCTTTCACATTACCCATAGTCAGAAATGCTTTGATTTACCCCTCCAGTCCTGCAGAATCTAAATCGATGACGTGGTGAGAAATCACAGTGAAACCAGCAAAAGGATTATTTACGTCTTTGAGATATGAAGCTAAAATTTCCCAACTATCTTCATACACATCCATAGTTAAGCAAAATTCAAGCAAATCGGTTTCAAATGAGGGTTTTGATTTGAAAACGACTGCTGTGCTGCAGGAAGTGTCACACGGTCACGCCTCTCCACTTTAAAGCGAAGAAACACTGACGATCTTTAGCTAGTTAGCATACTGTGGTAGTTAGCATTTGGGATCCGAAGATGGCTGATTAAAGCCATTTTTAACTGCTCGGTATGAACACAGTCCTTTGTTTAAACCCAGGTGTCATAATAGATAAAATGATTTGTCCTCTGCTAATGTACTATTTTAATTATTTAGAGTGCTCTCCCAGCTTGATTTGTACACAGTGCGCTCTGGTCGGAGGTCGTTAAGCATCAACACTTTGCCGTGGAGCCCCTTTACCAGTGAACCACACCTGGCCAGGTTGTTGGCGTGCACGGTGAACTCCTCCAGCTGGGTGACTCCGGACAGATCCCCCCTCCTCAGCTCCTCCAGGGCCGGACCTCCGAACGCCAGCCTCCTCAGCCGGACGAGCCCCTGGAACGGCGCCGGAGAACCCAGGCGGCTGCAGGGTGGGTGGAAGGAGCTGCAGTGAGACACACCTGGACAGCCAGCAGCGTGCATGTTTCCAAGCCGACCTCCTCACCTGTACGGGTTGCTGAGCAGGTTGAGCCGCTGCAGGGCTGCCAGCTTGCTGAACCACTGGTGGTGGAGAGCAGCCAGCCGGTTGTCAGACAGATCCAGCTCCTCCAGGCTCCACAGAGAGTCGAAGGCTGACGGGTGGATCGCAGCTAATCTGTTACCTGGAAGACAGCAACAGCTAAATTAAACTTTTTTTTTTTTTTTTTTTTGAGTTTCCTGAAACCTTGTTAGTGTTGGTAAGGATGTCAAAATGAACACGTCAGTGCGGATTAATCCATCATCATGATTGACCCACTAATGACTCAAAATCCCAGGAACGTCTCCGGCAACGCATGTCGGGCAGTTTGTCCAACTTTCCGTCGCAGTCATGTGCTAATGGGCCGCTGATCCGGCAGTGGCAGAACCAACCGGCTTGAAATGGAAGACGCTAAACAGCAAGGTGGCGCTCTCGCTGGGAAATTTGAATTAAAAAACAACAAAACAAGATGGAACAGTCAGCCGACGTACGGTAACATCACACTCTGCAGGAAGGAGTTTTCTTTTCCAGCTTAAAGCACCCCATTAACGTGAAGCATGCGTCGGTCGCACCGCGGCTAACGCGTCGCCCGGCTTGCCGCCCTCACGGAAAAGAGAAGTTCTTTGTTAACGTGAACCTTTAATAAACACGGTCAGTACACATATATTCCCTTCTTTCTTGAGTCTCTCATGCAAGGTGCAACGCGATCAACATAGATTAAATCTGAATGATATTTAATCGCGATTAATCGAAATTAATCCCCAGCAGCCCGGTGGTTTTAATCGTTTGACAGCACTGTTACAGATTAACACTGGTTTTGTTGTATGCGTTGTTCTGTGTTTGCATCTGTTATTACGAGGAAATGTGGGGGGAAAAAACACGCCAGAAACAATTTGATGTGTTCACAGACTCCCATTAAAGAAGGAAAAAACATACTTCAGTCGCTGGAATAAGCTGAAATTGACAAAAGTAATAATAAATAAAAATGTAATGAACATCATGACGTTGCTTTTGAATTGTGGGTCAACAGAAAAAAAACAATTAGCTGAACAACCCTCTGAGCCAATCATCAGGTGTTTCCTGTAACTCTCAGTCAGACTTGTGCACCTGTTGACAGGTATTCTGGACCACTGCTCACCAGCAAAGGCCTCTCATCTGTGTTTTTTAAATTATTCTTTTCAACCACAATTCAAAAGCAACGTCTCATTTCACTAAATTATAATTTAGCAAATTTTTATTTATTATTACTTTTTCCAGTTTCTAGTTATTTGAGGGACTGTTGTGGATTTTGCCTTTTCTTTAATGGAAGGAGGTGAATAGATTAGAGGACGTCAGTAGGCCTCATGCCGTGGTGCTCCTTCACCGGCTACCTGGTTGCTACAGCTCATCTACGACCCTTGCTATTTGGTAACTCTCGGATTTTGTTTCTTTTCTGTCTCTCTTTCCCCGTGTCGCTATGACAACCCAATGAAGCCCATCAGCGTTACCGTGGAGATCCAGAGCCCTCAGCGGCGCGTGGCCCGCCAGGTCGTCGCCTGTCACCACGGAGATGATGTTGCAGGAGAGGTCGAGGGTCAGCGCTCGCTCCGTCACCACGGGAACGCGGGTGAATCCGCCGTGGGAACAGTTGCAGGAGAGCCGCGAGTCGCAGCGGTTGCAGGTCGACCCCCCGTCGCCCGAGTCCTGACCCCGGCTCAGGGGGAGGAGGAGGAGCAGGAGGGCAAAGTGGCAGCCGGTGGGATGTCTCATACTGCAGGAGATGGAGGTGAGTCAACCAGGTGAGACAGAGACAAGAGACAGCGAGAGTCGGAGCAGAAGTGAAAGAAACGCAGGGAAGAAGTAGAAGTGGATGAAAGAGGAAGTCCTCAGCGTTTCATTGTGTGCATTCGACACAGTTCTCATGATGCATGGCAGCGGACGACAGACGTGAGCCTGCGCAACATCACCGGCGTGTGAACCGACTCAGAGCTTGAAAACACTTTGCAGTAATCGCATCGGTCTGGATTCACGGTGTTGAACATACAGGCCCCACAGGAGGAGGTCAGACAAACCCTTCATCGCTTCAGCTCTCCTCTGTAGTTTTTTCAACGCTTTCTTCTCCTCGTAGCTCGTCCGGTGTCACGTCATCTCTCTTTATTACAGTTGCAAGTGGAGAGAGAGACAAGAAATACGGGGAGACGAGTCGGGGAAGGACCTGCAGTGACCTGGACCCGGACACTACAGCCCGACCTGTTGAGCCGTCCGGGTGGCACCTCGTCAGAGTTTGCTCCCGCACGACCCGACGGCTGCTCGTCAAGCTGTGCTCTAGCGGCGGGAGGATGGATCCAGAGCATCGGTACCACGTTGGTATCGGTACCGGTGCTCGGGTTTCAGGTTCTCCTCTCCCGACGCTCAGCAGCCGTTACATAGCGGTTGTGCAAACAGCGCTGCCCATCCCCCCACTTCCTGCTGCACTGATACCTGCCTGCTGTCTGTCGCATCACTCAGCCAACTGCAGAGAAGAAGAAGAAGAAGAAGAAGAAGAAGAAGAAGAAGAAGAAGAAGCGCCGTTCGGTGTCGTTTACCAGCTGCAGACTTAAACACGATTGGAAAACGACTGTGATATTGCGGAAACACCACAAAGGAAAACGCTCAACGCATCATGTGTACTTTCTCTCTGAGACCTTCATTATTGTGTTAGCCTCATTGTACTTTTGTAATTCTTGTCCTGCTCCTTTCCTTTTCCTCATCTGCATCCAGCTGCTGTGACGTGTGAATTTCTCCAGCGAGGCATCAGCAAAGTTCATCTTATCGAACTTTAAATGTCCGTCTTCATGTTCGATGACAGATTCAATCCTCCACATCCCTGCAGAGGTTCTGTCACTCTAAAGGTTGTTTTTCAGCTGGCGTCATCATGTTGCTCTACTTTTCTTTTTAAATACTCTAAATGTTCTCTACTGGATTCAAGTCAGACTACAAACTTGTCCTGGTCGCAGTTTTCACTTTGCTCTTGAGGAGAAGCTCTTGTGTGATTTTGTTCTCGTGGTGGAATATTTCTCTTCTTCAGTCATCATGTCTAACCAGCATTCTGCTTTATCCTCAGACAGTCATGGAGCAACCCCACATCATGATGCTGCCACCGCCGTGCTTCACTGTGGTGGTCCTGGTCAGGTTCACACCAAACATCTGGACTCCATGTGAGCCCAACACATTGATCTACATCTGACCAGACAATGTTCTCCAGCATCCATCAGGCTTCTGTTCATGTTCTCTGGTGAACTTTGATGTGGAAGTTTAGCTGTGAGCAGCAGCCAGGTTTAGTTCTG